GACATAATACTACGACTGTCGTGTGCCGGGCCGAAAGAAAAGTTGGTGAAAACTCTACTCGACCATTCGTTCTGCTCAATAAGCGGCGTAAGTACTCCCTATTTTTTTTTAACGCTCCCAAATATCCAGTACGTTATATGGCTCTATTCTCCGCCGCTAAATTGATTCACACTGCATTTTTAATATTACAGTTTTTTTTTTGGTCTTAAATTCATTTAACTTCTGATCATAAAAAAAATTAGGAAGTTCGGTAATTTAATCTCCACACTTCAAATAAAGGAAAATTTGGTTTTGCGCATGCGCAGTGCCAACTTTTTTATTTATGAAAGAATTTAAATGAAATTTGATACATAGGCACATGGAATAAAGGAAAATCAAACGCCAATTTCAAAATTTAGTTTTGCGCATGCGCAATGCCAACTTTTTTATTTATGGAAGAATTTAAACGAAATTTGATACATAAGCACTTGGGATAAAGGAAAATCAAACGCCAGTTTCCAAATTTGGCTTTGCGCATGCGCAATGCCAACTTTTTTATTTATGGAAGAATTTAAATGAAATATGATACATAGGCACTTGGAATAAAGGAAAATCTAGCGCCAGTTTCAAAATTTTATTTTGCGCATGCGCAGTTCCAACTTTCTCATTTAGAAAAGCATTGAATGAAATTCTTCTCATAAACTGAAATTGAAGTAGCACGTCAACAATGGATTGCCCATGTGCAACGCTATCTTTCATATTTGTGGCCGGATTTTTACGATTTTTACAGAAGTTGCATCTTACAAATGGGAAATGAATGCAAGTGGAAATGCGCTTTATGTAAATCGTTTACGATTACTTTTTAACTTGTTTGTCTTTTATATGTATTAATGTATATGTAAACGCATTGATTTTATTTTTGCATTTCAAATATACCTTCTTAGTTGTTTTTTTTGTTAAGGGATTTTTATCGTCACCTGCTTTTAAATTATTAAATAATTTTGCCCCCTCTGAATTTTGAGTTGCCCCCTCTGAAATTAACGTCTAGCTACAGGCCTGCTAGATACTAAAAAAAAGGTAACTATTACAACACTGAATAAGTGTTGTAAAACACAACTTCCTTTTCCTTCAAAATGACAATTATGAGACTGATTACAATATGATCGTGAATAATAGTTATTTACATAAAAGTCAGGAAAATGACACATTACTGGCGAGGAAATATTGAAGTACAAGGCCCCTTTAGGGCCGAGTACTTTAATTTCCGAGTCAGGTAATGTCATTTTACTGACGAGTTTTGTATTAAATTTTACCCGAAATCGTACTTTAACAACAATTTTCATATAGAACTTTTGATTAATGTCAATCTGTCAATGATGACAGGAGTCTTTATAGACATTTAGCAATGTGACAGGTGCGGCAGGTAAAGTGACAAGTGCGGCCGGTAAAGTGACAGGTGCGGCCGGTAAAGTGACAGGCGGCAGGAAAAGTAGACTGGTCTGCTTCCGTCATGGAAACTGACGCTTTCCTGACATAAAGTAGGCATGAAAATGAAGGTTGAAGGAAGATTGTTCGTTTTACGAAATGTAACCATGTTATCTGCCGGAGCTGCCAAAACAATTTACCCATTCACATTCAGAACAAAGACGGTACCTTCTACAAACATTGCTCCTTGTGCCGGAAAGTGTCTACATTACAGGAAATATCATAGGGAACTAAGTACTACCGGGAAGTTATTTTTATATTACTTTTTTGGGTCAATGTATCTACGGGATGCATATACGTAATTAATGGTACTTATCGTATTAGCCTTAACAATTAGTAATTTCAAAATGCATGCAATGCACATTCACATGACCTTCAAAACAGAATAAAGAGAATTGGTATTTATCCAGAGTTGTATACAACTCTGTGTATTTATCCCTACACCTGTTTTGAAATGTGACAACAGCTGGTACCTCTTTCTCTGTTTCTCTTCTAGTCCTAACTAGAGCTGTGTAGGTCGTGAGCGAACTAGTTCAAAAGATTGGATCTTACAAGTGAACTAAAAGATTCGATCACTATGAATAAAAAGATCGAATCCGCATGAACTAAACTAAACGCAGCTCGCGAGGTACGATTGTATCAACTATTTAACTTGATCTTGAACTTGAACGCAGTGCTGATGCAATCATACTCCGGGACCAGTATCATCGGCACGAGCTAGACGGAGACGGACCGATTCAATCCTCGCAGCGCGAGAATTATAGTTACAATTACAACAAAATTAGCGAGCCGAGCTTTACGTTCACCACTGACTATTTTTAGTAGGAGACTTGCTAGTTGCTGACACGTCGGAATTTTCGCACGCTGTTATTATGGGCGCCTGACACTTTAATCTTAGTTAGTCTTGCGTTGAATGTACTAACTTGTACTTAGGTCATTTTTGTTTATAAAACTGTTATTTGTGACACGTTGAAATGGCCCCACAAAGAAGTGAAATATGGTTTCACTTTGAGGTTTTAGTCGACAAAGTTTCTGCTAAATGTTCATACTGTAAACAAGTTTTATCAACGAAAAACGGGTCAATGGGGAATTTAAATCGGCATATAAAAACAAAGCATCCTACTATAAGCATCGCTAGAGGATCCACCCCATCATCGAGCACTCATTCACAGACAGCAGAACCATCATCAAGCTGTTCCCAAATTACAAAAACAACAGCAATTCAAGAAGGAGAGTGAGCGCCAGTGCTAGTAACGCTGGTACTAGCATAAATATTGGTGCTACTGGTGCTAGTAGCAGTTCTGCTTCTGTTAATTCCAAAGCTAATACTCAAAAAATCCAGTCTGATATTAGTCATTTTACATATTCAAACAAACCTTTATCCGTGATAAAAAATAAAGAAATAGATAAACAGTTTCTACGCTGGGTAGTTAAAGGCTATCATGCTTTTAGAGTCGTTGAGGAGAAAGAGTTCCAAAAATTTTGTGAAATGCTTTGTCCGAACTATAAAGTGCCATCTAGAAAAACTTTGAGTAATAATTTACTAGAGCAATTGTACCAAGCATCGCGAGAGGCTATTCAAGAAGAACTAGTTCACGTTAAAGGTCGATTCACACATAACAGTGACGTCTCAGTGCCGTGTCAGTTCAGTTTCAGTGACATCCGTGACGTGCCAGTGGAGTCTCTTCACACATATCCGTACAGTTTCAGTTCAGTTCTCAGCGATTGACGATCAGGATGGCTGCGTTTACAGACAGAGAATTGGCTATGATTGCTGTAATTTTAGATGAAGAAGAGACGCATCATACAAAGAAGCGCAAATGGGTACATGAGGCTTGGAGAAAAAGAGAAACTGAAGGAGAGTTTGCTACCTTATACAAGGAACTGATGCACGACGAAACAAAATTTTTCGAATATTTTAGAATGTCCGAAGAGTGTTTCAATATTCTTCTCAGTAAAATAGGACCACAATTAAAAAAACAAGACACTCATTGGAGAAAGTCTATTACACCGAGGGAACAACTAGCAGTTTGTTTGAGGTAAGTAATAACAATACAAATCTCGACAATATATATTTGTACATACTTAATGTAAAAAATCATGTTCAGTTAATTTGGAAAGTTGTGAAAATAACTTTGCAAAGGGTTGTTGGTCGCGTTTGAATCTCCCACAGATGAAAATTCATTTTGATTTGGATTTTGCAAACTATGTTGTGGAAATGGTGCAACAGGCGACGGTAAAGGAGTAGTTCCTCTTGACGTGGAGGTCGATGATGAGTGCTCGGAATGTAGCCTTGTGTTAACAAAATTGGGGCCAGGTCTTGGATATGAGTCCTGCTGCATGATCATTTCCATTTCGTATTTTTGCACCGTGTGAAATATTTCAGATTTTGCTAGATGCAAGTAATATGGCGTAAAACTTTTTAATGTTGGAGCTACACCAGCTAGAAATGCGTCCACGTGGTGTTGCGGAGCAGTAGTAACTTGCTTGTCCTTTTTGTCACTTATCAAATACTCCATTAGTTTTGCTGAAGCAGTTTGTTGTGGCGGTAGCCTTCTTGATGATGTTTTGAATGAGCGTTGAGTTAAATGAGATTGCTTGTTTTCACTCGAATCTAATACATTAGGTTCCAATACATCTGAAACATTTGGCCCTGATTCATTAGGTTCCGATGATACATATGTTTCTTCTGCATCCACATTCTGCGAGTTTTCTTCTTCATCTATGTTTTCTACATCGTTTTCAATATTGCCTTTTGTTTCCCTCTCGTAGAAATAATTGCTTAAGAAGCTTAGTTGTTCGAAATATTTATACCGTTTTATTTTTTTTGCAGGGTCTCCGCTCTTAGTTTTTGTTTTCTTCATCGATTTGCGATAATTGTCTCGTATATTATTCCATCTAGCTTTACAGGATGAACCTGAAACAATTTCAAAAACTGTAAAGTACAAGCAGTTACATAATATCTTTAATTAAAATATGATTTCTTTTTTCAGGTACTTAGCTCCCATATAGCACAAGTACGTACTGTGTACGTCCATGTAACATACATTTTTGTACAAACGTACGTACATAATACGTACAGCCATGTACCGCCGACGTACATTGTACGTACATAGTACGTTACTTTGGCACAACATTGTACCAAACAAGTACGTACGGACATGTACGTGCAGTGTACGTACGACATATATGTACAATGTACGTACAGCATACTTGTACAAGGTACGTCCGGTACCGTACGGTCATAGGGCCCCTTTCCTAATGGGTGAGAAATACAAAAACCACATGTACTGCCCTTATTCAACCAATAGAAAATTTTTCGTCATTGGCCCATCAGATATGGGATTCATGAGAACCTACTTTATCATCATTAATTTAGATTGAGACACCTTCACTTCTTTATACTTGAATTTTAATGAAATAAAAACTTAAGCAATGGCAATGGCAGTGTAGTTGCATAAATCCTTGAAATAATTCTATTGTTATTTTTATTTCAATCCTTAGTGCAAAAGTAGGTATAGAAAGAATGCAGCATGTTAATAATATGGAATGTATATTATACCTAAAACATATTAAAATAAAAACAAACAATAACTCTTAAATGAAACAAAGTCAACCAACACTCAATATTTACAAATGGCACCTTTTCGTATATTTTACTTATGTTTGGTAGCCTTCGCTCTTTCTGAGCACCGTCTGATCCATTTTTGGATACTTATCTCAACGTCCTTAATGGTAACATTTTTGAATAATGCGAGCGATGATTCTGCAGAATATAAATATAAATTATTTTGAGAATGTAATGAAACTAATACTTACTTATCAATAGTTCATGCAATTTAAGGTTACGAAATGCCTTTTTCTTTCTTTTCCCCTCGTAACTGTAGTGGATGCCACAGAAATTATTTGTTATTAACTTTTCAGTGGCCCGAAATATAAAATCATATATTGTGGCACCACCCAAATTGGATAACTCGTTAACCTACAACATTATCACTTAATAAATTATATTCATCTTAAATGATTTTGAATTATGTCACTAATTATATCTAAAAATTGATAGTCAGTTGTACTATGAAGCCATACTTCAAATGTGAACAAATATTATGCTATTATTACTTAAATTTAAAACACAATTGTCCCGAGAGTAGTGGTGTCAAAATGTACAAATTAGTAAAACCATCATCAAAAAATAAAATAATTATTATGCCTACGAACTTTAATAAAAATTACACTCACAGCATGCTCCATGCCTTCTCCTAAATGATCTTCTAGTACTGCTAAGTCTTCTTCCGTATTAACAGGCAGATTTTCCAATGTGATAAAAATAGACTCACTATTTTCTATTTGTAGCACAGTATTCTTATTTTCAATATTTGATAAACGATTAGTTATATCCAGTAACGTGGAGTGTAAAATGTTCTGTTTTCTAATTATACTTTGAAGGTATTCTAGAAAATTAGATACAAAGTACAAATATAGATATACACCTTATAAATATTGAACTCACTAATAATTGTTTTTGAATCAGACTCTTCATTGTTCTCCTCGCTGACACGTGGAGTGGATAAATTCTCACTTCTTTGGGGCAGTATATCTCTTTTTCGTCGCTCCTCTTGTCCTACATTGAAACCCCAATATAGTATACGTTTATCAGGAATAAATCTCAATAAAAGTGTTAAACAAAATACCTATCACTTACTTTTCAGAAGTTCATTTTGGTCGAAGGTATTTATTTCCACATTTGGTTGTAATTCTCTGCCTGTAACAGATAATAAAATAAATTATATTTTATAAAGTAGAACTCACGTTGTTTTTTGAATGAAGGTGGGTCTGGCAAAACGCTTTCCTCTTCTTCATCACCTTCCTCTTCTTCACCTTCCTCTTCCACCGAAGAAAAGCTGACAGTTTTTCGAAAAATTTTTCTTTTTTTTGAGGAAAAAGTGTATGACTTTGTCTCACAACCAGATTCTAGGTCAGAAGTTTTCGTGGCTTTTAGGGACTTTTTGTCTGCTTCTTTAAAAGTATCTTCAAATATTATAAGATAAGAGAAAGATCGAGAGAAAAATATTTATACTCACCAAACACATTGTTTCGAAAGCTCTCAAATGTATATGATTGCCAAACTTGGAAATTTGGGCTTTCATTATTTTCGATCGCTGCTCGAAGTGCTTTCTCACTATAAGGGGGCCAGTAACATTTTTTTCCTACGATCCACGAAGATGGAACAGCAGAAACTGATTTCTCGTCCGGAAATTTTATAACGGACCATGTTTTATTCTGCTGATTATCCACAACCTTATCCATATTAGTCACACTGCCACAAAATAATTCTTAATAATATACATGCATTTGACAATGTCTGAACTACTATTTTTAGTAAACATGAAATTTATACAAGATGCACTTACCCCGATAAAGCAACTATTAATTGATAATCACTATTTCTAATATACGACATGCATATATTTCAGAAATCAAGGTATCTGAATTGTTTACCTAGGTATATTAAATACACATACATAATATAGCTTGCACATACTAATTGCAGAATTTGATTTCAAGTGAGCAAAACTTGTACCTATGCTCGTTGTACAAGTTTAAAACTCGCTCGCGTACTAATTTTGCTCATTTGCTACTAGGTTTCTAAAAACATTGAATAAGTTACACAGAAAAACTAATACAACAGCTTGTAACAAAATAGATCGCAATAGAGAACTTTATACCTAGATGTTTTGCTAGCAATGTAGTAAAGGTACTACAACAAACCTATCATTATATCTCATTTTAACATATTTGCATGTGATCTCATCAACACTCCATACTTCTAAAGGACCTAAATCATTTACAATATAAATATTCAGTGCAGATGATGGAAGTGGTTGAAAGTATAAGTTTGTTTTTAAATTAAATTTTTGTGCAATTACATACAATTCATTATCAGCATTTGTTACAATATTTTTTATGCATATTATGTTTCCGTCCGTTAATCCACAGCAGCTATCACTTTCAGTTAGTTTGACTGTAAACTTTTCAAAACACAATTCTTTATATTGATATAAAATGTTACGAGTTCGATTATGATTTAGTAAAGGTCCATTATTGTGTAATTTATTTGGTTTAGGTGTAGTAGTTGATACTTGATGATATTTTTTTGCATCAGTGTGACGACAATCTTTTTCTATTATTCTTTTAATAATTTGTGGTAAAGGGTCGCTACCTTTGCGAATTAGTAATTTCAATGACTGTAAGTAATTTTCAAATGGAAATCCTGAAAAGTTTTGTAACACGCCAAAATTTTTGCAATCTTCCCGCAGATGCAAAAGATTATGCACATTATGTGACACATTTTCCTTCCCATACAAAATCACAAAGGTATCTATGAAATACTTTAGTAAATCATGAGCGTAATCTCCATGTTCTGCCAAGTGGCTTTCATTTGAAAAAATCCTCATAGCAACATGAAGGCTTAAGAAATTGGCATAACGATCCTTCGACAAGGTAGTTTTGAATACAAGTGGCCCTGTGTACATTAAAATTTGTCGAAACTCGGTAGCTTTAAACCGTTTGAGATCATCCAACGAGCGAGGTTTGCGAACGAACTCACAGGGGATATTTTTAGACAACTCAACTAAATAGTTTGATATGCGTGATACTTGAATATGTGCTAACTTTGAATTTGGTTTCCCAAAAACCCATAAAAGTAATAGTTTTCGCATCACACCTAAACAGATAAGATGCATGTAATCCAATGGGATGTTACGTATCATGTCAAAGTTTGGCAAAATTTCTAATATCGAAGTACCTGTGTGATGTTCTTCATCAAGTTTCTGTCGAAAATCAGTATCACACCTGCTTCTAACATTTGAAGAGTTGTAAAAACACACACGATTGTTAACGTATTCTCCCTCTATGTGACATTTTGAGCAAGAATTATACCCACTATGTCCTTTTGTAAACGTTATAAACGATTTTGCTGGAACATCACAGATGATAGCATTTACCCTAAATGGAATAGTACGATTCTTATACATAAAACCGTTATTCGTAAACAAAACCGCATCATTTATAAAATCTTGCATGAAAATGTTTGGATCAGAGGGCTTTTCGTATCCATGATATAAACCGATCATTTCGACGACGGAGGGATTCTCCCATAGATTACATATGATGGGGTACAACTGACTACCGGAACTTTTGCTTAATGGAAGTCCATCTACATTGACACCAATTTTAATTACATCTATATTATCGCTAAGTTCATATTTGTCAAGAATTTTATTGACTGCAGAATCGAGACCAAAATAGAAAAATTTACCAGGAAAAATTTCTTGTAAATCAGTCCTTCTAGGAGTTTTTAATAGCGTTCGTGCATCAGCAGGTAGATTGTTATCGAAATGTTGACGAAGCAAGCGTAACAAACTATTTAAAGCAATATGTTCAATATGATATGTGACACCCCAGTCTGCAAGTAATGAAGCAAAAGTTGTTTGTGAAGAATAATTACTCGGATTTAAACCTTCGGTGGAATTAACTGGATTCTCATCTCTACTGGGGGTTGTACTACGAAACTCATCGTCGACATCTAAATCGTCAATAGAATCTGATTCTGATTCATACTCACTAACCGTATCATCTCCAATTATAGGTGTAGATTGTGCAGATTCGGTTGTTTCATTACTTGTCGCTACCGAAGTTGGTACAGTTTCAATTACAGTTCGGTTTATGAGTTCAATTGTATCATTCGACAATTGTTGAGCATGTCTGTAATGTGTACGGGATAATTTATATTTAGGCATTTTTCTACACTTGCAATTTTAAGCAAATTGTTAACTACCTACTATAATAAAAGAGGGGAACGCAGATGATTCCACATGCACAATTATAGGTTATAATCTGCCTTTTGTATGTGTATTTAAAACAGAAAATGAAGAATTTACCACTTGTATACACAAATGATTTTAAGATATACGCACCAATAAAACTATCCCAAGTCACAACACCAACACTGAATAACACTTTTAACTTTAACCAAGATAACAAATGTTTATGCAAACCAAATAAAAGACGCCATTAACAAATCATTCACTATTCACACAGCTGCATGTAGTGCATGCGCACTAAAACCAGTAATGCGCACGTTCAGGTGTAACTGCAAACATGTTTGTACATTGTTCGTACTATGTACGTACTTGCTAACTTCTCAATTTTCGTCCGTTACTGTACGTACGCAGTACGTACATGTTTTGTACATGGACGAACGTACGTAAAATGTACGAATAATGTACGTACTATGTACATAGTGTGCTATATGGG